GGTCACGCGCAGGCCGGGCGGTCAACGCCAGCCCCGGAGGCCACTCGCCAGCCCCGGAGGCCACACGCCAGCCCCGGAGGCCACTCGCCAGCCCCGGAGGCCACATGCCAGCCCCGGAGAGGCAACGGAACGCGGAGCAGAGCCGCACCACAGAGCTGCGCCACAGCGCCGCGCAGGGCCCAAGGGGGCCCGCGCGGCCGAAATAGCAATTTTTGATAGGATCTTGCCATGCTGTGGTTCACCTGCTCCAGCCTCCTGGTTAGCCAGGGTTATAGGCACTTAGCACTGCACCCAGCCTGCTTTAAGTTGGTCTGAGACTCAGTCCTGGGCCCTCCACATGGCTCCACCCTCACGCAATAGAACCCTATTGCCTGTGCCACCACAGCTGGGCAGAAACCCGTCCCCTTGAGTACAAGTCCTTTTTAATCGTGTATGACTAGTGGGATGTACACATAAAACACTTGTGGACACCCAAAGAATGGAGACTGCCTTTGAGGAAGAACACTCGTGCAGGGTTTGAGTTGTAAACTGCCTCAGTCACTTTTTTCTGCAAACATTTCTTTTATTTGAAAGGACAAGCTGTGATTAATCAGACTAAGGTATCTGCCAGACAGTTTCAAGTTTATTTTATTCATGATAGGGCATGTGTGCACACTGGAGGGAGGGGAGGAGAATGAGGGGAAGACAGGAAAGCACCCTCAGTCAGGTTCACATCACGTCTGACCCCCTCTTACTCAGCTCTCAAGCTTATCAGGATTTTGCTCACGGGCCAGGCACCTGCAAGTTTTCAAGTCACCCAGGGATCCAAAGCGGTCACGATCTTCCATCATTGCAATTCGGTTTGCTACTGACACCACTAGACCAGGACTGGCAGACATTTCCTGAAAAATGAACAGACTGACCCTGTCACTTCAAGGACAATAACGGAGAATGTATTTGTTGCCAGTGATAAAAATCTGAGCTTTCAAGTAAAAACTAGAATTTTGGAAGATGTGTATTTCCAGCTGTTAAGCTCTCCAGTGGCTAAAATGAGACTGCTGATGGTATCAGTGAGAGTAATTTTTAAAATATTATATGAAATGGTCAAACTTCATGTTTTAACTTCATCTTTTTAAAAAATCTCTGTGCTTAATTCTGCATAAGTTACTGAGATCTATTTTTTTCAATTCACTAATCCTCTCTTCTTCTGTGCCTAATCTCCTATTTAATACTTCATTGAATTTTAAAATTTCAGTGGCCAGATTGTTGTGATAGTTATACAACTCTGTAAATATCTCCTAAAAGCAACTGAACTGTATAATTTAAATTGGTGAATTATATGGTATGTGAGTTATATACCAATAAAGCTGTTAACATTTTCAGTAACCATAGTTTTTACTTCATTTTCAGGAACTATAGTTTTTGCCAAAGAGCATGAGCACTCACCAGAGAGAGGGAAAGTGAGAAACCACTACCTCTCCCCGCCCCAAGGGGGGGTGGCCATGTTGTAATCCCTTCTCCTCCATTCTCCTGAGATTTGAGGCATGTACACACACATGCAGGTGTGATTTTCAAGCTTCCAGGTCCAGGATTTGAACCACAGTCTGCCATGTTGGAGTCTAGCACCTTAACCACCATGCCACCTGCTAGCCTGTTTTTAATAATTACCAGATGATACAATTAACATGAATGAACCCACCACCCAATATCAGATTAAAACACCCTAAATCTACCTGTGTTCCTACCCCATCCATTCTACTACTTCAACATCTGAATCCTGAACCACCTTCCTGAAGGATATTCCCCCACATAAATAGATATTCCTCCAAATATATTTAATTTATATTTTATTTCCTTTTATGTTTAGCATTATAAAAATGCATCACATTACAATTACCTTTGGGATTTATTTTTTGTTCGGTGTTACATTGATAAGATTTGACCGTATCGTCCATGTAGCTGAATTCATTCCATGAATCAGATGGAACAGCATTCCACTCCAAGCTACCAACACCCCTCACCTGGATCACTGTGATAACCTTCTATTGGATTTTCTTGCTTCTATCCTTGTCATTCTTCAATACAAAAGCCAAAGGAATTCTATTAAATTTTAGGTCACAACTTTTAACTTCTGGGCTGAAAACCCAATAGATTCTTATCTCACTCAGACTAAAATCCAAAGTCTTATAACAACCTTCAAGGCTCTTATAACAACCTCCAAGGCAATAATTATAGCCTCCCCCCCCCCCCCCACCCTGCGCGCGCCCCACAC